CCCCCCCCCCCCCCCCCCACCCCGCTATCCGCCCGCTCGAGCCAGCGGTTTTTGTTCACTTGTCAAGACGACCTATCTGCCGGTGACCTAATTCCCGGCGCGATCCGATTGAACGCGTCGAGCGCGCATCGAGAGGCGAATCGAACGTGACTCGTCACGCTCGTAACGTGGCGAGATAAAAAAGAAAGAAAAGAAGAGAAGAAAAAAAAAAAAAAAAGAAACGCGTCTTTCGATTTTTCCGAAATTTTTGGTCGTACTCGGGGACGAGATACTCGACGAGGTACTCGATGCGACGCGGCAAAGACCGCGAGCGGCGTCGCCGCCGCGGTATCGCGTTTAATTTTAAATTGATGTCAATGGGCGTGGAGGGCAAATAAAGCGATCTCGCGCTTCGATTGCGCGAGATAAACTCGTCCTTGTACCTGCTTCGCGATTTCATCGTAACGATATACGCGTACTCGCGTAGCGAAGTCTTCCGAGAGCGTCCAGCGAGACGAGATCATACCGTGTGTGAAGTAGTAAATTTTAATTCGTACTCTTTATGTGTGTGGAATGTGCTTTACGAAGGGAATAAGTCCTAAGTTGATTTAATATCGATTATAAATTAATAATATGAAATAATAATTAATGATAAAGGTTCAAAATATTCAGTCTATCACGTAGACTCAAGTTCAATTAATAATATGTAACTATATAAAATATAATAATATGAAACTAAATACGAGTTGCCAAATAAAATGCGATTTTATATCTGTTTTTGAATAATTAATTTTTTATATTTTTGTAGCAATTTTGAATTTTTTTTTTCTATATATTTGACGTGCGTTTTTCATGTAAATTTGAAGGCTTTTGAATCCCATGTCAATTTAGCTTTATCACTTTTATCATTGCTAGGTAATTCGTTATGTAAGAATTATCATGTAAAAAACATTGCCGAGTCGTGCGATGAGAGAGAATTTCGAAGATTGTATTGAACATATTTTACAGATTCAACTTTCTTGTCTATTTAATAAATAGTGTCATTTAATCAAAGTTTCATTTTTTTACTAATATTTAAAACGTTTTTTTATCTCTCTTTCTCAATAGTATTTAATCACAATAACTTAAACTTTAAGATATCTTGTGTGTCGTAACTTTAAACATGTCACTTGCCATGTAACTGCTATTTGACTTCCGCTCTTATCTGGGGA